ACCCTCATTCAAGTACCCTCATTGAACACTTATTTTTAAAAAATATAAATTAATGTATCTTAATTGTGACTCTTGTCCAGTTATTTTGTCATTAATATCAGTTTATTTTGGGATAAGGTCATAGCAAAATACAAGTAAATACATGAAAGTAAATGGTGTTAGTAAAAAGTACATACAATATAAAAACATAAAAATACAAGTAGATACATGGTAGATGAATGGTGGATACATGATGCAATGTCTGGTCACAAAATTTTATGTTCCACATGCATTATGAATATAAGCCCTAAACCCAACCCAACCTCTAATCTAAATTGTACTAACTGTGTATAGTAACTCGACAATTTTTATAGACCAAATTATTCCGTGACAGTACCTTAAGGCCATGCATGATGTCATTAGAAATATGGCTTCACTGACTGGACTTACCAATGCCCAGGTATCATGCTTTTCAGTTAGTCTTGCAAGCCAGACCATTCCCTATAGCCTAAAGTCATTGGGGTGGACCCCTCAGTAGTCTCGCTAGCTAGCCAGACAGTCCGATTGGCCCGGGGTGGACCGCCGTCCACCACAATGACTGTAGGCTGACGAATGGTCTGGCAGACTCTGGCTAGCGAGACCACTTTTCAGTATGAGTATGACCTACCGCTGTATAATAAGCTAGGCTGGAATTTATATACAAAAATCAAGTCCTAGTGTATGCGTGAATCTAGACAATTACAACGATACCTTTACTACGGTTATGGTGAAACACACAAAGATCTAAATTGCTCCTGGAAGAAAGTCCGAAAAAGTCGCACAATTCATAGATAATGCATAATAACAATTTGCCCAGCTTCGCCGCGCCTATTGTTCCGACTCCTACTCATTGATACACAATGACTATTATTAATTACATTACTCACGTGATAGTTCTTTAAGAGACCGAGCGCTAGAGAATGGCTACATGGTCTGTCTTAGTTGTCGGAATCGAGGAAGGCAACTACCTTGTTAAAGTTGCTGACGACGAAGCTGCTTTTAAGGAAACTACTGTTAAGAAACTAAAGAAAAAAATATCTGAATCAAAAGCAGGCCTCGTTAATCCAGAATACATGCGCCTTCTTTTTGCCGGTAAACAACTCGAAGATGAAGATGCTTCAACTCATGAAGAGAAGACCTTAGAAGATTACAACATTCAAAAGCGATCAGCTATCACCGTTGTCATGAGAGTGCACGGAGGAAGTGACACGTCTCTGTCAAAAGTCAACAGAGTACCATTGCCGCCTGCCTCAGAGGACAAAGAATATCCGAGTGATTTTGCTTTGAAGTTTACTGATGATCCTGATTGCATTGATCCTTATTCTGATTCTCAAAAAAGAGTCAAAATGAAATGTGGTCATGCTGTTGAACCAAACACCCTTACGGCGTATTGTCGTAGTCTTCTTGATCAGCATATCTTTACGTTCACTTGCCCCGCTATTGTGGATGGAAAGAAAAAGCAATGTAAAAAGGAATGGGATTACACTGATGTTCGTTTGGCTGCACTATTCAATGATGCTGAGATGCAGTATTTTGAGAGCAAGATGTCCGAATATGCTGCTTCGCAATACTGTGACTTGAAAGAATGTCCTGGTTGCCGATCATTTGTTGAACGTATTGATTTGGATAATCTTAGAGTTCATTGCCCTCTTTGTACTAAGAAAAAAGGTAAAAATTATGATTTTTGCTGGCATTGTTTAAAGGAATGGACGGGACCAATGAAGTCATCTGTGAAATGTGGAAATGAGTCTTGTGTCCATCCTGATCTCCCATCAATTCGAGATGCTCCTGATTTTGTCCTCAATGGCAAAAATGTCCCTAATCGTCGTGCATGTCCAACTTGTGGAAAAGTTACTGAGCACTTAGCACAAGGTTGCAAGTTTATTGTCTGTCCTCGCTGCAAGAAAGAGTTTTGCTTTATGTGTTTGGAATTAAAAGAAGTATGCTTGAAAAGTGCTCCAGCTTCCTGGTATGGGAATTGTGGGAAACCTGTTGCACCTAAACAAACAATTATTCCATGCTGGTCTCGTGACAACTGAGGGCTGAAGGATGA